ATATTTCGGAAGATCTTTAGGCCACTACAGAAATATCCCATCCAGAATTAGAGCATTGTGGTTAAAACCAAGAACTTTGTCCCAGCTCTGCCTCAGAACTGTGTCATTTGGGCTAAGGTGCCCAATTTGGCTAAGTTATTTCAGTACTTATCTCTTAAGTGGGAATTGCAATACCCAACCCATTTTAATTGTTATATGAATTAAAATAAAATAAGTTACCTAAAGTTCTCAGCACCCACAGTTAGCCCTTGGCAAATAAGATCTGTTGCAACCACAATCCTCGGGATTCTGCTTCTCACACATACACGCTCGTGTGCGCACACTCACGTCTACCTATAAAGCCATCTAAGCATGACATTCACTGCAGTTGCGAGCAAATGCTGTAGAAGCTGCAGGTGCAGTGGTGCATGCCTGTAGTCCCAGCCACGCAGGAGGCAGGGCCAGTGTGGGCAACACAGCGAGATCTTGTCTCTAAAAATGAAAACAGGGACCAGCAGATGACATAATGGTTATGTCACTGGACTCCCACAAAGACTCGACTGTGGTTCAAGTCCTGGACCTGGTGGCTTCAAACCCATGATGGGTGCATGTGTGTGCATGCCCAAAATTCCAAGAGAAGGAGGAAAAGGGATTGTGACGTGGCCATCTACCTTGGGGAGAGATTTCTTGCTTTCTGTTTCTCTGTCTCTCCCTGACTCTCTGGCGAGCGCATGTGCCCTATAGTAAAAATCTCCCTAAAAATAAAAATTAATAAAAATAAAAAATACTATGGAAGCACTTATGTGACCAGGCCAGAGAGACTTTGCAGACAGCCATTGTAGTCTCATGATGCTGTCCCATCATCTGGCTGCTTTCCTTCCGACATAGTTCTGACGAGTTGCAGATTCTCTCACGTTTCCGTTGCAGCCTGTGTTCACATCATTTTTTGCTGCCAAACAGCGCCTTATTAGTAGAAATTGGACTCATGAGCACAGTACTTGACAACAAAGACAGTTTGATTAGAATTAGAGGTAAGGGGCTAATAAGCAATAAATATATTTGTCTAATGCACTTTGATGATCGTGTGGTGCTGGTTTTGTCCCTTAGGGACACAATCAGGGAATTGTGAAAGGCAGTCCTGGCATGAACGAAAGATAGCTCTCGCTTCCTCAGTGCACAGCAGCCTTGGGGACAGCCAAAGGCATGTGCAACAGTTATCCGTGTTCCCTATTGATCGCCTTCCCTGAGGGCCCTCCATCCTTCCGCTGCGCTGACTTCACGTTAACAAAGCTCAGGGACCAGCAGTTAGCGTAACGGCTATGTCGTTGGACTCTCATGTAGTCGACCATGGTTCGAGTCCCAGATGCGGTGGCTTAAACTCATGCCAGGTTCATATGTGTGTGTGCCCAAGATCTTGAGAGGAGAATGGAGAAGGAATTGTGGCATGGCCATCCCCCTTGTGGGGTGATTTCTCACTTTCTGCCTGTCTTTCTGGCGAGTGCACATGCCCTATAGCAAAAACTTCTCCAAAAAAAAAAAAAAAGAAAAGAAAGCTGATAGAGCAGAATTCAAATATCTAACTCTTTTCCACCTTACACATTCTAATACATCAACAGTATTCCACAACTTACAATCTCTTAACTTGGAACTCGTTCCAAGGTATTCCTCTTTAAACCTTTACCTATGAAAGGTTTGTTCTACATATTATAAATGAAAACCAGATTTAAAAGAGAGATATATTGGGCTGTTGGGAAAATCATGACGTATTTTTTTTCTATGCAAAAATGCATCATGACTTTCCCAAACAACTTAATACATGGCCAGGCCCCTGGCACAGCAGTAGTGTGCTGCTCAAGAGAAGCTGGATTCCACACAATGACTGTGGTTCAAATCCCTGACCTGGTCAGCCTAAAACACACCAGGCATCTGATGGGCTAGAGGGCTGAAGGAGGGGGATCGTGGCATTTGTGAACCCTGCGTGGAGGGTTCTTATCTCTCTTCCTCTCTGTCACTCTCTCACACGTACTCTTTCATGTACACACACTCTATCATGGATTTAACAGATAAATAAAAGAGGTATATATAATGATTTAAAAACAAACTTTTCTTCAACTAGTGATAGTTTGCTTCTTATATATTTTGGGTTGTCTAAAAAGTCATGACATATTTTTCCATGTTTTTCTATGCAAAATGTGTCATGACTTTTCCCATGACCCAATAGTTCCTAGAAACATTGTTTCTAAAAGTTTTAATTTTTATCAGTGGTCTACTAGTTAAAATGGGTAATTGAGACAGCAAAAAAGAGTTTAGTAATATGTTTAAGACAAAAAACTTCCTTGGCTTTTCTTAATATTCTTATTTGTCATAATACACGTTAAGGTATGCATATATAGTTTATTTATATTTCCTTATCATAAAAGCAATGCTGGCTAAGAAGATGCTCTGATATTAAAAAGATATTAATTGAATGACTAATACATCCCTTCTCAGCCTTTCTAAATATGATGCTTTAGTAAAAGGCAAATTTCCTGTGGAATTATTGCATAAAATAATTTATAGCAAATGGGACCAGCATTTGGTGTAATGATTAAGGCTCTGGACTCCCACATGGCTGACTGCAGTTTGAGTCCCAGACCCAGCAGCTTGAAAATTACACTAGTGCATGTTTGTGTGTGTGTGTGTGTGTGTGTGTGTGTGTGCGTGCGTGTGCGTGTTCAAAAATCCCAGGAGGAAAATGGAGGAGAAGGAATAGCTATGTGGCCATCCTCCCTGGAGGGTAATCTCTCACTTTCCCTCTCTCTGTCTCTTCTACAAGTACATGTGCCCTACAACAAAAATCTCATTTAAAAAAAAAAAAGAAAAGAATTTCTAACAGAAATGGTGACTAGGCATTATTTAGTATAAGGCAAGCTATTCATTGACTAAGAGGATAGGCTCTGGAGATACAGTGGCTTAGCCTGGATTCTTGCTCCATTTTCTTTTACACTTATGCCCATCTACAGCCTTGGGCAAATTTCCTAACTTCTACGTACCACAGTGAGGATGTGGTGAATCCTGCTTCATAGGAATACCCACTCTTAGTGCTGAAGTTAGGTCAGACCAAAGATTCTCAGACTAGTGCCTGGCATCTGGTAAGAACTTCGTACATACTGCTATTATTAATGGTGCAGCTGAGGATGCAGTTCATCATTCTACAGAACTAAGCAAGTCTGGCAGGGATATCAGCTGGGGAAGACCAGCTACCACTCAAGTTCCCAGTGGCCTGGCACATGGCCATCATGAGTCATCCTCAGGTCTTTGGGTTTGCAAGCATGGGAATGTACCCTGTTAGTATTTCAGTGGTGATCGAGCTTTAGTCGATGAATTCAAAGTCTCTGAACTCACCAGAGGCCATAAGCTGGGTCCAGAATATTAATGATTGGGTTTCACATGAACTGGACATTTGTGTTTCTTTTGGAGAGGTTTTTGCTATAGGGTGTGTGCGCTCGCCAGAAAGACAGAGAGAGACAGAGAGACAGAAAGCAAGAAATCACCCCCCGAGGGGATGGCCATGCTGCAATCCCTTCTCCTCCATTCTCCTCTCAGGATCTTGGGCATGCACGCACATGCATCCAGCGTGAGTTTAAGCTGCTGGGTCTGGGACTTGAACCACGGTCGACTACATGGGAGTCCAAGCGACATAGCCATTATGCTAACTGCTGGCCCTGGTGAACTGGACATTTTTGTTAATGGGTCAGCACTTCCTCTCCCTAGTTAAGTGCACATGATGAGTAGGAATAGCAGGACAGGCTCTCACCTGGGCAACAAAACCCAGTTCCTCAGAAGAGTGGGATGTCTCCTGGGGATTGTTTTCCCAGACCTTCTTCATCAATCTTAGAACTCAAACTTTAATTCATTGCCATAGACTAACAGCACTGCCATGATTTTTTTTTTTTTTAACAAATGAGAACTCAAACAAAGATTGGCCCTCTTGCCTAGTGGTTAAGGAAGCTGAATC